GTATAAATGGTGAACAACATTTCTAAGAAAGCAGCACGAGGGCTGCACTGACTGCTGAATTGACTGTGGGGATGACAACTTAATTTTAGCAACTTTCACTAACACAACTATGTCAGTTTGTTTAGTTATTTTGATCTTGGGGAAATGAAACCTACACAAACAATTACAGCAAAGAAAAAACACAATGCTTGGTGAGGGCACAATGCAAGCCTTTCAGAAACCTGTAATTATGAACAAAGGAAAAAAATTTAAAACAAGATCTGTAACAAGCCATAATATTTAACTGGACACCACTCCCCTGGAGCAAGAACTCAGGTTAGTTTTTTACACCAAGGCATGCCAGAAAAATTAACTTTACACTACAGTACCCAACAATACAGCCACCACAAACACATTATCTCAAGCAGGTTTGACTGGAGGGGAAGGAGACATTCACAGAAGATACACCAGCAGTACATAAAGGTTTTACCAAATTTGCCACTGAGCACCACGTTCAACAGTTTCTCAAAACCTTCAGGGGGCAGCCCTTGTTGCAGGGCAATGCTTTCCACAGCAGCCAAGTGTCTCTGCAGAGCACTGTTGTTTCTCAGGGAAACACGGCCTTGAACTAGGAAAAACAAATGGGACAAACACGGGATGTAACAACTTCCGAACTGAAAATGAACTTTAAGCTTCTCTGAACTGCCCCTACGTACAGTCCTTTCTCTTTACACAGTAACGAAAAGGGGAAGAACTTTCAAGACGTTAAAGAAGCATTTACATAGCTCAGGGATTAAAGAGGGAATACAGAAGTAAAATTAGATTATTTTAAAATTATTATTTTTATTAAGAAAGATGGAGAGGGACTTCTTACAAGAGCATGTAGCGACAGGACAAGGGGGAATAGATACAAAGTGACAGAAAGTAGACTTAGATTAGGTATTAGGAAACAATTGTTTACTGTGAGGGTGGTGAGGCCCTGGCACAGGTTTCTCAGAGAAGCTGTGGATGACCTATCCATGGAAGTGTCCAAGGCCAGGCTGGAAGGGGCTTGGAGCAACCTGGGATAGTGGAAGATCTCCCTGCCCATGGCAGGAGTTTGGTCCCTTACAACCCAAACCATTCCATGATTCTATGATATTCCATGATATTCCTTTTTTTTTACATAGTAGTAACAGAAAGCTTTTAATACATTAAAAAAATATTACATAGCTCAGGCATTGAAGAGGAAAACCAGACGCAAAATAGATTATTTTTATATTATTATTATTCATTTAATTAAGAATGTAATTATTATGTTTTCAGTCTTAGGGAGCCAACCTTAAAAGTGCTCTCACCTTTCTCAAAGTAGCTGAAAGCTTTCTCCAGGGAGACTTCCTGGCTGTCGTTTTTCTGACTGATGTCATTTTTCTGATCTCCAGGAGACTGATGATTCTGGGAACTTTTTTCAGGGTCAGTTCTCCCTCTTTTTCGCCACGCAGAGAGATCAGTTTGGCTTTTATGGTCAACCTCCAGAGGCCGCTTTGGGGTCTTAGAACTCTGTCTTTGCTTCATCTTTTCAGTCTCTCAGCTGAGACTGCAGAATTTTCCTCATTTGTCGCGAGATCCAGTCCTTCACTAGGCAAGAAAAGAGATCAACCTCCAACAGCTGAAGAACATCAGAGAGCTGGTTCCCTGCAAGAAAAGAAACATTTATTTTCCTGACAAACAGATTTTAGAGGCATCCTGCATAGCACTAGAGTGAATGCAGCAGAAATAATTTAGAGCTGACTGCCCCCCAACAGGTCAGATAATATACTCAGAAGATGCACAGACAACAGTGCATCAAAACTTTATCCTTTCTTACATTAGAAAAAGGAAGAAAAAAATTCACAAGGCAAAAAATTAACACAAGCTCCTTTCAATTTAAAGATGACCTGATAAAATTTTAGATAGCATTGTGAGCCAAAAAATTAACATAACCAGAAAGATGGAATAACACAACCAACAGTTTTCTCCTCAGTTTATTTTATGCATTTTTATTTTCCTTACTTGTATTGTGCTTGTCAATGTAATCAGTCAACAAGCCATGATCCCCTGCAAGGTTGTGTACAGATTTTAAAGGACCACAACAACACTTATCTTTCTATTTCACAAACACTGGATTCTTCTACAGCCTTTCTACCGAGCAGCTAGGGTTGGAAAACACCCCTCACCCTCCTCCTCACCTGCACCAGCGCCCCTCCTCTGTAGCCCCCACCGCGACTCCCCTGGGACACTCCGGCCTCCTGGAGCATCATCTGAGGGGAAGGAGGGAGCCTAGCCCGGCCTGACCCAGCCCCGGCCCCGGCCCCTCTCGCTACCCTGGGCACTGACCACCGCCTGCCACGGCCACTGACCCTCCCTCCGGCACTGCCCCCCCGTTGCCTCGGGTGTTGCCCCCCCCCGGCACTGACCCCCGGCACTGACCCCCCTCACGCTCCTCCCGCCTCTCCAACCGTCCCGCCGTTCAAACCTGGCGGCAGCCGCACCGCGCGTGCGCAGCGCCCGCCACCGCCCCGCCTTTTGCGCATGCGCATTGGGCGGGAATGACGGCAGCGCTACCGCCCTTCCGGCCCACCCCACCCCGGCGGTTCTGAGCATGCGCGGTCCGTGTCCGGTGGGAGGGGGCCCTGAAGGGCGGGAAATCCCCGTGAGGGAAAGTGCGGCCCTGCTGAGGTGTCTCCTCGTCCATGGGGGTGCGAAGTTTAGCCCTAAACCCGCATCTTAAAAAAGAGTTGGGGGAGGGAAAAGGCACATATAAAGCGAGCGGGGAGATGATCCGATAACCCCGAGGCTCTAAACAGTGACGCCTGGATGAGGCTGGCCGGGAAATGAAATTATGGTCTTGGAGATAAAAAGAACATGGGAAAAAATAAAAAGAGGAAAAAAAAAAGGGATTAAATTAGCATCGAGGTCTTACAAAAGGAGTGGAGCAGTTCTTATCTAGCACAGATGGCTGGCAGCGTCCAAAAATAGCTTGTTACTGCTGGGGGGCAGTGATGGAGGTCAGCCCGCCACAGAGAAATACAGAATTCCTGCTGCTGGGCTGCAGGGAGAGTCCCGGCTCCCTCTGTAACAAAGAAAACGCAGCCACCACTGAGGGTCAGTCGCTCATTTCGCTGCAAATGTGAAAAGAGGGGACGTATTGTAGTATTCACTCAGTGGTCAGAAGCTTTTGCAGGGATAGGCTTTGCTCCATGGGGTGATGTATTATTGGGGTGTCTGTACAGGCTTCGGTGAGGAATGACACAAAATATAAACACAATACTTGTTCCCAAAGGTTTGCTGAGCTGGATGTTCAGTGAGAGGTGACTGGAGAAAGAGCTGCAGCAGCTCAGTTGTGAGGACTTTGTGTAGGAAATACACATCATGGGGTGGTTTTGAGTTGGTTTTGAGTTAAAATGTGATTAACAACCCCAGTCAAGGCATGGCAGATAAAGTGTCTTTGAGGGAGTAAAGCAAATTCTGTATCTATTTGGGATGACCTTGAGGTAGTCTGTGAGGATGAGATTGTCTAGCAGAGGTGGCCTCTTGGTTCCTTTGCTCAGGGTGCACATCTGATAAGAGAAATTTAGTCCCTCCGGGGCTCTGAGAGAAGGCTTTTTCAGCATATATATATGTATATATATGGGGCTGCATCTGCTTCAGCAGCAAACTCAAGAAGAGAACTGCATGTGAACATCCCTCATCAATTTTTATACAGATACAATGCTGAGAGTTTACTGGAGTTACCTTTTCTCACGGCCACATTGTATTGTAGCAAAATTTATCTGAGACTGTTTCACTAAAATATCCAAATGTCTCCTTTAAAATATCTTTTGTTATTAATATGTAGCCAAATAGTGTTCAGCTGCCTTCAGCAAGGCATCGGCTTGTCCCTCTCTCAAGTTGCCTGAAATTATTCTGCCCATTTTAGGTGCAGTGTTTGACCACAGGGAGGTGTTTTCAGACCTGTATCTCAAAAAAAGAAATTTGTTTCTGTAAAGACATTTTTCTCCAAATTTCAAAAAGTTTATTTTCATGAATAATTAAAAAAAAAAAAAGGAAAAACTGAAAACAGACAAACATTAAGAAAACCAGACAAATTCAGAGGTAACACATGCTCCTTATGACACTCTAAGATTTCAGATACAACACAGGGATTCAGGCTCTGGTAACAGGAGTTCTCCCAGCTCACCGAGGTTGTATGTGGGATGAGCAATGAGGTACCTGGAATTGTTCAGACCCTCATCTACCAGCAATAAACAATAATTCTATAAAGTCACAGTAGTTGTGGAAAAAAAGGTTTTTTTCTTGCAAGGAAATGGGGAGCACGATGCTATTTGCCGACATCGGACAGATATTTTGGAGTTCTTTGGGCAGTTCTGCTCCCCATCCCCTCTCCAGGGATCCTTACTCTCTGCCAAGAAGGATAAAGAGATGCCATTGCCTCGTGTGAAGCAGGCAAAATATTACTGTTATCAGGCCATTGTCCCAATTTAGAGCCTCTACATGGAAATCAAGGAAGATGCAAACAGAGCATCTCGTGTTTTCCCTGGATAACCAGTCCAAAGAAAGGACTGGGCACAGAGGCAGCAAAAGCGAAGGGATCCCTCTCTCCAATGCAACCAACTGCACTTGTATGGTCAGTAGGGTCCCTTTTATCCCTTGACTATGGAAAAGGAGATGCAGGTGTGTGGGTGGGGCTGCACAGGCCAGCACAGGGACACTGGTGATGTCCTGCCCAGCTGCTGTTCCAGACTGCCAGGCAGCAGCATCCAGGCCAGGTCTGGGGCTCGGGGCGGGTCTCAGGGACTAATCTCCCCACTGCAGCAGTGCCAGGGCAGCCTGACTGCCTGCCCAAATCTCTGCCCAGGGTCTCAGGCTGGTTTTGCAGCTCCTGCTGCGGCCGGCACTGCTCCAGCCAGGTTGCTGACTGCCTCCAAGCTGTCCCCGGGAAAGCTGGCTTGTGTTTTTCTACATTACAGGGCAGCAGCAAAAGCAAGACTACGGTGTAGACATACCTTGTATCTCTCAGACCCCAAGTGCAACTTTATTTAGACAGACAAAAAAAAAAAACGCAAATAGGTTTAAAATAAAAAACAAATTTTTCCAGGTGATTTTGGAGAGAGCTGCCTCGAGGGTCCGTGTTTCTCACATGCACTCAACTAGGATACCTTCATCTTGCCTTTCTCGGGAGCTGCTTCGTGGATGAGTGGCTGCTCATCCCCGTTCACCGACAGCATCCTCTTCTCGGGCGGCAGCTCCTCGGGCTGGCGGGCGATGAGCAGGCGGCAGGTGAGCAGGATCCCAAACACCAGGGCGTGGGCGTAGCGCTTGAGGGGGTCCCCCACGAGCTGGTGGAAGAAGAGCACAGCCAGCACGAGGAGGAGCAGGAGAAAGTTGGCCACGTCTTTGGGGCGACCAGGCACCAGTGTCATGACAATGCCACACGCCACCTCCAGGGCGCCGATGGTCTTGCGGAGGAGGATGGAGCTGACTCCCATCTTCTTCAGCATGGGCAGGGCCCGCACGTAGCTTTTGTAGGCTCGTTTCTGAAATCAAGCAGTCATAGGGTACAACACCAGCATGTGAGAAAGTGAAGGCCAAGGTGACTTCCATTGAAAGAGACTGATGTGCAATATTACCTAAAGATGGCTTCAAACATCACAGACGCCTCTGGCGCAATACCCAATCTGTAAAGCTTCTCTTGGGAGGATATTAAACTATCAACCTGCAATTCCCCCTTTATAAGCTGTTGTCTCCTTGTTGGAAAACAGTTCTGCAACGCAGCACCCCTCTTTGGAACTATGACCAGCCCAGATGAAATCTGAAGTTATGATTCCTAGAACTAGCAGTGCAGAACCACGTTGTTAAAAAAAAGGAATCTCTAAGAGCAGCTTGTCCTATAAAATTCAATAACACACCCAGCAAAGCCAAGGCACACCAAGTGCATAAAAAAGTCTCTTTTTACCTCAAAGCAACTTACCATATCCCAGTGTTTATGAGCAGTGCAATCTTCATGTGGGATTACACATCAAAGCTGAGATTCACCAGCCCTATCCTGTGCTTTATGATCCTTTCTTTCCTCAGGTGAAAGCAAGATGACATTTGACATTGTTTGCTCCCTGCTTTATGCTGGATTTAGAAGCAGTGTAAGTTGCAAGACTCAGCCTGCTTACACAGCTGCCTCACTTTTTTTGGAAAAAGACAACCTCTGTCCTCACACAGGTTCAGGTTCTCACATTTGAACATTAGGTGCTTGTGGGCTTATTGTTTTGTTTAGGGGTTTTTTTATTATTTTGTTTGTTTGTTTTGCAATCAAGTATTTCCTTTTTCTATATATATTTCAATAAAGCTCCGAGTTATTCAAGACACTGAAATTATTTCCACTTACACATGGGTATACTATCCCTGCAGTATTCTTGGTGTTGTGTTCTCTGCCTTCTAATCAGGGAGAGGGAAATGGAAACCAAATCTCAGGTGCAGGTTTGCTCAGCTCTCACAGGCACTGATAAATTGTGCATTTACTTCCCTATGATTTTGGAAACCTGCATTATGGGCACACAGAACTTCCTCACTTCTCTGTAGATTTTGATGCTTCCTTCTGGGAGGATCTGACACTTCATGCGTGGTTAAAAAATATACAGCGTTGTCAGTTTTGCTACAAAATCATCTAGGATTAAGTATGCATTGGAAGGATGCCTTTTAAACCATCAGTGACTAAAACCTCAGAGCAGAGTATTTTTAAACAGTTGTAAAAAAATACAGCTTTTTTAAGAAATGTACCATAAGCATGTCCCAGAGTATTTTAATAGACAAACTACTGTGTTCTTTGCTGAATGAAAAACTGCAAGTTTGGTGCTGTAGGTAGGTAAGAGAGGTTCTCTATTTGCTGGGGGCAAAAAGCCATCCCTATGGATCAGCAAGGTCAGGTTTTCACTGTCTCCATAGCATGACAGACCACGAGGGTATGCAGCACAGCAAAGGCAGGAGAGCCTAACGAGCCATGAATATGTGACAATATGGACAATATGGGCTATGAAGAATAATGGTGCTGTTGAATATCTGCTTTCTCCTTATAAAACCAGGGATCTTTCCTACCTGCAGGCCTGACTCTTGGTAAAGCAGAAAGGGACAGAGAAGCAGAATATTTTACAAAGCAAGCATTTTGCAATGCTTCTAAAGTCTGTGCCTTTTTTTTGTTTTTCTGTTGCAGAAGCTTAAGGGCTTTGTTTTCTGGGTGTTTTATCTCAGTCTCTTGCTCTTGAGTTACTTCTTGGGGATTCTCCTCTGTGAGATCCCTGTGCTGGGCTGCAGACAAGGCACTGCGATTCAGATGTTATTTGAGACTAAGGAAAAGCAGCAGCTGGGCAGGTGGAGCAAAGGGAGAGAACAGAATGTGCTGGAAACTTCCAGCACTATTTTTACAGGGACACAAAAATTATACCAATGCTTTTCAACTACTGCAATAAATAATGGGGGAAGGGGGGGGCAGGAGAATAAATAAATGTAGACAAGGAAGCAAGATGTGGCAGCCAGTCTCTCACCTGCCTGCAGCTCTCAGCTGGCAAAACTCTGCAGCAGGGCTGGGCCTGAGCAGAGAGGAGCATCAACCAGCTCACCAGGTGAGAAATGCACACAGTGACTTCTCTATCCTCTCCTCACCCCTTTCCTCGTAGGCAAGAGGAGGAGAGGATCGTTTCCCTGGCTAAAAAGAATAATGAGATGACTATTAATAATATCTCCCTCTGCCAGCTAAGAATCTCAAAGCATTTCACAATCATGAATTAATCCCAGCACAAGTCTTGTGAGGTACAGTCAGTGTCTTTAAATCCTTGCTTTAAAGCACAGAATCGTGAGAATGGACAGCTGGCTGCCAAAGCAGGCATCTGCTTTTCCTACCCCCCACCCAGGGGGAAGGTTTTCTCCCAGGGATCAGCTGTCCCTGCCTGCTGCATGTCTGGTGCTTCTACAGACCTTGCTTTTAGGGACCCTTGTGCCCCCACCTTTTGCAGGCATCAGTGTGCTGTGCTACCCCGTCCTCCTTGCCTCCCCTCCCCATCCTTATCCACAGAGGTTTCTCCAGGGACAGGGCCGCCAGGATATCTTGGGCACTGCGTATTATTGGCTTCTCTCCATGTCTATCAAATGAGGAGACAGAAAAGCTTCTCCCCTCGCCTGCCCATCGCCCGGGGCTCCAGGGCAGGCCCCCTCTGCGTACCCCGCTGCTCCCGCTGCAGGGTGGAAGGGAGAGAGCCCTGATGCCCCCCCCACTCCGTGCTGCCGCTGCCCGACTCACCATCTCGTTGTAGGCATCTCTGCTGAGCCGAGGGGTCAGTTTGATGGTCCCCATAAAGACGAAGAAGAGCCCCAGGGCCACCGAGAGGGCGACGATGGTGATAGTCCTGGGAGATGCCATAGAGCTGCAGGGATCCGGTCCTAGCGAGGCCTTCTGGCTCTGGCTGCCAGCCCGGGTGGGAGGGAGTCCGTCACCATTGAAGGCTGTAGGGATAAAGCTGCAGAGGCAGGAGGATGACAGCGGGAGGGAATTCAGCCTCCTCCACTCGGCAACCCCTGGGTCCTAATGCCCTGCAGCCGGAGCCAGGCAGCTCCAGCACCTGGAGCGCTCCCGCCAGCAAGTCATCCTCTGTTTCCTCGCATGTTCCACAAATCGCCCACAGAAAGCCGAAGCTGAGCCAGTTCTAGGGATGCGGGACTGCAGCCAAAGGCAGAGCACAGTTGCTCACTAGTGGGAAAACAAGGACATGTTAGGAGAGGGCACGGGAATGACGTGCTGTGGAGGAAAAGCGGCCAGGGGTCTCTTGTACATAGACAGCTTTCAGTTCCAGGTATCCAGATGCTCAAACACAGCAAACAACATATTGCTTCATGTATTTACACCAGGAAAGCAGGAGAGATGTCTTGTCCCTGTGGTTCTCCTGGAACTAGATGCCCAAAAGGGAAGGTGAGGCCACTTGTGTCACCCACCTCCACTGCAGATAAAACCTGTCCTGTAAAGTGTAAGGTTTAGTGTAAAGTGTAAAACCTAGTGTAAAGGTTTTCTGATCCTCTGTTACTTTCTGATTTAAAGTCATTCTCTCTCTCCTGCAATTTGCAACAAATTTCCTTTTGATCAAACCATAGCCAGGCTAGGCAGAAATCTATTCGGATCTTGCAGCAAGAAACCAATTACACAAAATTGTATAATTACACAAAACAGAACTGCTGGAATACTGCATCCTTTGGTATAAAATGAAAGCAAGAGGCTGTAACAGTGTGCAAGAATCTTACACTCACGGGACACTGGTGTAATAAGTCTCAAGTCCTAAATGCATCTATTTTAAGCCCCCGTGGCTTGAGAACTGCTGGTTGTTACTATTCCAAGCTCAGGTTTCATTAGGACTGGAATTAAAGTCTGAAAAATACAGGCAGCTCTCCCTGTTTCCTTAGGAGTTTTTTAGGCTTGATTCAAAACTTCATGGGATTTACAAAACGCAAGGGAACTACTCACTCACACCTCCCTCCCCATTACAGCAGCTACATCTCTGGAAAAGCTGCAGAGAACGTCACATAACACTGTGCTTCACAGTGAGCAGGACAGGACAGGTACAAAACACAAGAAATCTTTTTAATTAGCTATTGCAGAACATCCTGAGGAGGAAAAATGTTGCTGCTGACATTTTCATAGGGCACTTCATATTTAGGTATGTGTTAGCGGAGAAGAGGAGGCAGTTGTGAAAGGAGAGACATTGAAATCTGTTCTCTTTTCATTTTATTTTACAGAAAAATCTCATTGCCTCCAACTTATCCACGGGACTGACAGTGATTCAATATTGGGTTTGGAAGCTTATAGAGGAATATTTCCCTGACCCCCAGAAGTCAACATATTCCTGTTGAAGCATGAGGATTTCTAGTTCCTATGGTTTCTTCATAGCCAGTCCAATATGAACTTGAAAAAGCCCTGGAATACCCTTGAAGCAGACATAGAACTAATGGCATGGCAGTATTAGACAATGCAGTAGATTTTAGTGCATGTATTCACATGTTGATGATGGAAACCCACAATACCAGGTGTTATGGAACCTTTCCTGTCTGACCCTTCAGATGCCACTCATGGGGTCACACTCGCATCAGCCCAGAATGTCACTGCTGGGACCAAAGCCCCTTTGCATCAGTGGTTCCAGTGAACCCACAGATGCCTTGTTTAACTCCCTACACACTCCACTGACAGAGTCAGACAAGTTTCCTTCACTGGATCGACCCCAGTTTCCCATAGCAGAGCTTCCAGACATCTGGATCCTTTAAGTATTTTAACTGTGGCACAGCAACATAACAACAGCTGGAGCTGGTGCCCCCAGGGAGGGGCCCCAACAAAGGAATCCCTGGGCTTCCATACCCTTACACCCTAAATCTCCTGGCCCTTGCACAACAGTTCTGACCAGTGGAAAATTAGGGTCTGGGGTCTTCTCATTGTTCATTGAGTTCTGCAGAGTCTCTGGGTGAGGAGCCACCCACCCCATGGTCTTTGTTAGGCACAAAGGCAGTGCTCCTTGCCTGGGGCTCCAGCAATTTTCCACCACCCAGGGCACAATCTGCAGCTTGAACACCAAGCTGGGCACACTCCTTAACACAGGAAGAGTGTATTTTTCAGGCTGCTTTAACCAGCAGCCCAAGAACAGGTTTGCAGGGGAAGGAAAGGTGATGAAATGCTACAGAGAACCTTTTCACCCCAGAAATCCAAGTGGTTCCTTAAAGAAGAGTGTTGCTAGGCAACCCAAAGTAAGAGAAAAAGCAAAATTATTTATTTTTATACAGCCCATCCAGAAAATAAGTTAAAATCCTAACTCCATTGACTCGAGTCTCCAGCACAGTAGGAGGTTGCTTCCCAAGCTCTCACAGCTGGCACACCTGCCTCCCTGTCAGCGGGTGAACAGCAGCACCAGCTCACAATGAACAGTGTGAGGGAACAGGTCAAAAGGAATTGCCAACACGGGGGCAAACGGCTCTCCTGTCAGCTTCTTCCGTGGGTCAGGTGGGCAGCACAGCCTGTGGAAAGCAAAGAGCAACCTTCAGACCAGTAGCAGAACCTTCCCACCATTACTGGCAGCACAATAGCGCAGAAGATCCACCGAGGGGGTATTGTTTGTTTGGCTAATGTCCCTCAGAGTCTGCAGAGGCTGAGGTGTGGGAACACCAATACTGAATCCCAAACCAGCTCTGAAAACCTCAGGGACAAGCTGAACAGTCAGTGGCAAGTTTAAAGCTCCCTTTCTCACAAGCCATCCCAGCCGAAAGACACTTAATACCCTTAGGAAACAATTTTCAGATTTGCACTACCTTCATGGCCACCTGCAGACAGATTTATCACCTGCAAACAGGCCCACCCCAGATAAAGCCCCACGATTAACCCTAAGCAGGTGACTAATCCCCTCGGCTTCACTTTGTTGGCTAGGGGTCAACCTTCCTGCAGTGATCCCCGTGGATTCTGTATCCCACATCCAGACGTGCTCTTTTGTTGGGGAAGGTTGCATAATGCCATTATAACATGTTTGCATTGTTTTCTACTCCTCGCTGATGCAATAATGCCCTGCTGCATGTAAAACCCAAAGAATACCCCCCTACCTTAAACCAGCGAGTGCAGCTTGCAGGGAAACCCAAAGTAACACAGAGGTATAAACCCCTCCTGCATCTCACCTGCAGAACTCACCCAGCAAAATTTAATCACAACAAAAACCTTCCCAAGCCTTGTCTGGATATAATAGGATCTGTCACAAAGGTCAGTGGAGGGGAGGAGAGTGCTCACTCAAGGAAGTTCCTCATGGCTTCACCCTCTGGCTTGCAGGAGATGTAGAGCAGCCTGCGGATGGTCCTGCAATTCCGGATGGCCCGCACGACCCTGTAATCTGCAAAAACACACCCTGCTTTCCCAGTGACCCAGGAGGAATGACTGCACACAGAGCCTCACAGAACTGCCCTGAACTGTCAAAAATACAGGGGAAAAAAAGACACATATTTTGCCATGTTCTGTCTGAGACCCATGCTGCTGATAGCTTAGCACACAAAGCAGGGTAGAGCAGCGGGAGAAATCCCTCTGCTTCCCAGAGGGATGAAGGATGAGAGAAAAATTGTTACTAAATTAAGATGAAAATAAAAAAATAAATAGCATATTCTCTCACGTAGCCCAGCCCGAGATGGGTTCACCACAGCAACAAGCGGCCGGGCATCCTCCCACGACGCCAGGAGTTGTGGTAACACGGCCTCTGCCTTCCCACTGTGAAACTCACAGTTTGAAATCCCTGTGAAGCAAAAAGAACAGAGTCCCACCAAGTGTTAGGTATAACAAGAACCACCCTTTGCTGTGTTAGGGTCCCCCTGCTCACTTACTGCTTCCGATTTTTCAGCAGTTAGTTTGAAACTTTCTGCCACGGCGAGTTTGAACTCACCGTTGAACGCTGCATTCCACTTAGCATCCTCTATTGCCTTCTCCACCACCTCGACACCGATAACCTTGGACACCTGGTGAGCCAGAGAGAGACCAATTGTGCCTGGAAACACGGGACACAAAAATACTCTGTACATTCATGCTGAAGAAACAGGCCTTTACACAGCAGGGATCAGTTCTGGCACCAGCAAAGCACCAGCCCTGGGAGCTGGGCTCACACGGCCACTACCCACCTGTTCCACAGCAGATGTCGAGGAGGACAGTGTCCCCAGTAGTCTGACAGAGCTTCCCAACTGCCTGGTACAGAACTTCTGCTCCAGCCGTGTTCACTTGGAAAAAGGCATCTGGAGAGATGCGAAACTTCAGGCCGAGCAGTTCTTCAAAGATGTGAGGTTCCCCATGGAGCAGCTGGAAGGGAGACTGCTCGTGGGAGCAGCGTGTCATGGTGCTGGCAGACCACACAAAAACCAGCTCTTAGAAAGCAGCAGAGAGCTGGCTGCCATTCTCAGGGTGCTCAAGGGCAGGGGAGGATGGTTTTCTCCCCAGGCAACATCTATTTTGTGGGAGCCTCTCGACAAGATCAAGAATTTTGATTCTTTGTAAGGGATCTGTGACCTGCACAGCCTAGATTTCATTAAGAGGATCAAAATGACCTAGCAGAAGGCAGCAGTCCTCGAGTCTATTCCCCAGTTTTGCTTCTAATAAGATTTACTGTCTTGGAAAAGTCACTGTAGGCTTTTTCTTTAGTTTGCCAGGCTCATAACTCCCATGAGGTAGAGCCACAGTGTGTTCAAGTATTACAGGTTTGGAAAAAAAAAAAGATGGGGCCATTTTAAAGCCATATCTTTATGTGGGATCCAAACATCTGTCATTCTCTTGAACTGATAGAATTTGAATTTGATCAGAGAAGGGGGATAAAAAGGAGGTGGCTTTGTTTCCACTCATTCCCTGTGCCAAGACATATACCTCTCTTGGAAATAAAGTGAAGACAAGGCACAGACAGCTCCAGGTCCACACGTGAAGAACTCCTTGAGCAGTGCTTTCTGAGTAGCCAGTGCCTCCTGTTAAGAGCAAGAAAGGAAAACCTGCTGTTTGGGTAACCTGATCAGACGCCTTTTCCCAGGGATACACCCAGCAGGCTCAGGTGAGCCAGGTGTCTGATGTGCCTCTTGCCAGGGGCCCTGTCCTGCACATCCTCACCTGGCCCAGCTCCTGGGGGTGGAAGGTGATGATGGCCATGGTGTGGCCATGGCTGGTGGTACGAACCACGATCTCCCGCCAGTGTCCGCCTTCATGGAAGAGGATGCAGGAGTCCAGGGGGGAACGACAGATGAACTCTTCATAGCACTGAGGGGAGGGGAAATGGCACTTGTAGTACCACGAAGACAACTGCCCTGGTCTTAGCCCCCAAGACAGGCAGCCCTTCCACCAGCGTGATCTGGTTTCTCTGTTTTCAATAGACTGGGTGAAAGCTCTTGCCAGGCTCTTGAAAGACAAGACACTTTAACAATTTCAATTTGCAATTCTTATGTGTTTTAATAAATTGGCAGGAATTCGTTGTCATTTGATTAATTTCATTCTTTGGAACAATTTAGAGGCTGCAACATTAAGATGCGAGTTTTAAAAAAATACTTCTCCATCAACCAGAGTCAGGCATGAAATTTTTCAGACCATGAAAATGAACTTGAAAACACGGAGTAACTAGAATTACAATGTTCTCCCAAACAAGACTTATTGCAGTCCCTCTATTCCACAGTCTAGGGACAGACATGACTTATTTATTTACCTGGGCTACTTGTTTGTGTTTTGAGGGCATGTTCTTCATGTGGTTGGCTTTCACACAGACAATATTTCTTGCTGGAGAGAGATGGACAGGTATTTAATTGTTCTGTTTCAGGGCACAGTAAACCACTGTACCATCTAAACATGATAAACTTTGGAGAGGCCTTTCCCCTGAATTCTCCCATTGTACAAATTTTAAAAAAGAAGAAAACAGAAAAAATTGGTATGCAGGTGCCCCTTGCAAGGAGCACACTGCTCACATCTTCACTGCACAACACCAAACTGCCTCATGCACTCCAAATGCTCCAACACTGCTCTGCTGCCTATGGAAGTGCACATCCCTTCATGTTCTTCCTGCTCAGCACGGGCTCCTGGAGCACGCCAAAAACGTGGGAACAGCATAATAAAGAATAACAAAGCTAAATCCTGAAGGGGCTGATACCCCATCCATCGCCCTTCCTGCTGTATTTTGCAAGTTAGGAGCTGGTATTTCTGAAGAAGTTAATGAACTGAGGTGTTAAAACTGCTGCCCTGCTTTGGTGGTTGGCATCCCCCAGGATTCAGGCTTCTAACTTGAGAGGAGGCTTTCAAGCAGAGCCTTAACCCAGCCCAGCTCACACCAGCAGTTTTCTACTGAGTTTCTTGTCCTGCACTGACCTTTGCCAGTTCCTACATACAACCCCACAGTTTTGGGGTTCCCATCCGGTCCTCGGTTCACAGAGAAAGTAGATTTGTTTCGGTAGCCATTAATGATGGGCTGAGGGAGAAAAGAAGGAAAAATAAAGCCTTAGATTAAAAGCAATGGAGGAAAGCCAAAACCCTGCCTGGTTGTTCTGTTGGCAATATGGGAAGATACATGTGAGCGTGCAAAACACAGAAATGGAGCTTGTGCACGAGAACCCCAGTACTTCCCCTTGGGAGGAAGAAATGGCTCTCTGTGACAGAAAGGTGGCAGGTTTATCAGGGAAGCCTTGGATACAAAAAAAAGGGTTCCTAAGCACTAGGCTTATTTCACTCTCAGGCAGTCACAGGCTGCAAAGCAGACGCTAGCAAGGACTGCCACAGACACACTCCCTGCAAGCAAATAAGACTCTTCAGTTGATGAGTGAGAGGCTGTGACTGGCTTAGAGGGGAAAGCACTCCCACAGGATACTCACTGAAGGGACTACAGGCTGGAGAGGACAGCAGAGCCCACCAGGTTTCTGTGCATCTATGCCCAGCTCTTCAAGACGAGATGCCAGTGTCTGCAAAATCTTCCTCTGGCTTTCATACTTCACCTGCAGAGGAGTTCTAAGCCAGAAACACTCTCACAGGACCACATGATGGTGGGCAGCTCTTCATCACCCACCCCTGGGAAGTCCGACAGGAGGAAATACTGCAAGTGAAAATATAGCCCCAGAGGAACTCTGCCCTTTTCATCACCAAAACTGCTTGGGGCAACAGGAAGAGGGAAAAATCCCATGTCCATGGTCCCCAAGAGCTGGCTTTGGAGCGCTTGGTCCAACCTGAAGCCCCAGTGAACCAGTTGTCCCACAGAGGACAGGATCACTGTGCAAGTGCCCATCTTTTGTACCATGAGGAACCTCCCAGTTCTATCCTTCACCATAACAAGGATTAAAGCAGCAGTTAATGGAGACTGAAGAGTTTACAGCATTAAGATGATGAGGGCTATTGCTTAAGGGGATAGGAGAGGTAGTTGGGGCAACACAGCAAAGAAAAATATATGTAAGCACATCTTACCTGCAGCTGCTCTTGGTAGGGAAGTCTCCACAGTGGAGTCACTGCATTTGCTAACCTGGAAAGCACAACATCATGGCAGTGCCCAGAGATGCTCCCCCCTGATACCTATGGCATAACATCCCTGACAGCTACTTCATGGGCAGGGCTGTTCTGGTGACAGAGCTGGCTCTGAACACCCAAACTCCCAGTGAACCAGAGAGAAACGCACAGTTAGTGTGGAACAGGCAGGGAATTTCAAGCTGCCCAGCCTTGCTGACCCACACAGCAGTTGTTTGGAGAAAAACCTCAGAACTTGCCACTACTTGTGTTTGAGGCAGAACAAGTAAGAACAAAACACATAAAAGCTGATTTTAAAAAAAAGGCAGAGTAAGGGGTGAGGTGGACGTGGTTCAAACAATCATAACTATCCATCAACTACTGACTCACTGAGCCCATGGAGAACGTCACCCCACAGCTGGATAAGTTGCTGGTATTGGTTACTGGGATTTTTGGAGCTGCTTCCAAAAGCACCCAGTGCCAACTACTTTCAGACAGAGAACTGCAAATCAAACGGACTAGCACTTTTTGCTTGCCACTGTGATAACCCGTCTGCTCCTTCCCTCTTAAAACCTTTCCATTTCTCTTTTCCATTATTCCTATCCCCGGGCCAAACTCGCGGGGAAAAAACAGCTGAGCCCTGGCCCTTCTATTCGTACTGGGAAGAGCTGCACGAGGGTAAAACCCCAAACCCACCGCTCTCACTTGCCGCTTCGGAAGAGCGTTCGGTCATTTTGGGAAAGCCGTACCTCTCCTCCCAGGACGGATCTGGCAGGCTGCAGCCCTCCCTGGCCTTTTTCTTCCCTTTCCCCTTTGTCGCTGTCCCCAGGCTGCGGTCCGGGCCGAGCAGGGCGAGCGGCGGCGGGCGGAGGTGCCAGCGCGGGGGTCTCAACAGGCAGCACAGAGCCATGGTGGGGGGCGAGGGGCCTCACCCGTGTGCTGGTGGGACACGGGTGGGACAGTGCCCGTGGCACAGCAACCACGTGGCTGCGCTGAGCTCGCTCGAGACTGAAAGCGGAGTGCCCCCCGCCACCGAGCCTGCCCGGTGGGATGCTCGGGGCTGGGGAGGCAGGGGGAGGGATGTCTGGCAGAACGTGTCACCTCAGCTGGCGGGGTGGGTGCAGGTGGGTACGTGTGCTCGCACGTGTAGGGACGTCAGGACAGCGGGAACAGCCCCCTCCCAGGCCGTGCCTCCAGCAGATGGTCGCGGAAAAGCAGGAAGCAGGCAAGCACACGTGATCTCACAGGCCCGCTTAACCCTCTCGGGCACCAAATATTTTCAGCGCTGCTGGGGGTTTCCCGAGTCAGGCGTGGTTTATCTATTTAGGGACCCCAAGAGTTCTCTTATCCCTTTGACCTCACCTAAAATTCCTGCACCCACACAGCCTTCGGCCAGGAGGCTCACCTACCCACCTCGTACCATTTGGGTCAACCTTTCTTGTTTGAACCTGGCTGCCGCGGCCCCATCTGGGGGCTTCAGAGCCCGTCGCCATCCCGGTCCCCATCCCGATTCCGGTCCCAGTCCCCACCCCCGTCCCGCTCCCGATCCCGCGGCGGTGGAGGCGAGGCAGGAGAGCGGGTCCGCCCGGCCGCCAGGGGGCGCAATCGCCACTGAGCCCCTCTGCGCACCCGGGGCGGGGCCCGCCGGGCAGAACCACGCCCCCGATAGGCGTGACCCGTCTTAACCACGCCCATTAAGGGCGGGGACAAGAGGGTTCAGCGCTGTTTGCGGCGGCCGCGCCCCCTCCCCGCCTCCTCCAGGCCCCGCCCCTCCGTACGTGACAGCGGCGCGGGCGCTGATTGGGCGGCGGTGCGGGGTGGGGCGGTGCGTCAGTTCCGCGGCGGAGCGGGCGATGCTGGCGGCGGGCGGCGGCTCCGGCCCCGCCGGGCCGGGCGGCTCCGGGCCGGGGCTCGGCGGTGACGGCGACTTCCTGTCGCGGTACCGGCTGGTGTCGGCCAAGCTGCGGCGGCGGTTCCTGCGCAAGCCCAACGTGGCGGAGGCGGCGGAGCAGTTCGCGGCGCTGGCGCGGGAGCTGCGCGCCCAGGAGAGCCTGCCCTACGCCGCCTGGTGCCAGCTGGCCGTGGCGCGCTGCGCGCAGAGCCTGTTCCACGGCCCCGCCGAGGCGGCCGCGCTGGCCGAGGCCGCGCGGCTCTTCCTGCGTCAGGAGCGGGACCTGAGGCAGCGCCTGGGGCTGCGCGGCGGCTTCGGCGAGCACGTGTCGGCGGCGCAGAGCTGCGGGGCCTTCGCCGCCCGCCTGCACCTGGAGCGCGGGCAGCCCGCGCTGGCGGCCGGGCCGTGCCTGGAGCTGGCGGCCGCGCTCCGCGACACAGGCCAGCCCGCCCGCGCCGCCGCGCCTCTGCAGCGGGCGGCGGAGCTGCTGGGGGCCGCCCGGCTGCCGCTGCAGGCGCTGCGCTGCCTGGCCGAGCGCGCGTCCTGCCTTCTGCTCGCCCGCGACTACGCCGGGGCGCTGGCGGCGCTGACGCGGGCGCAGGCCCTGGCAGGGGCCGGGCTCGGCGGGGCGGGGGCCGGGGCGGCTCCTGGAGGTGCCTTCCTGGACGTGCTGGCGCGCTGCGAGGTGTCGCGGGTGCTGCTGTTGCTGCTGCTGCAGCCGCCGCCGGCCAAGCTGCTGCCCGAGCACGCCCGCACGCTGGAGCAGTACTGCTGGGAGGCGCCCGACGGCGGGGCGAGCACCACCGGCAGCGCGGGCGGCCCCGGGGCGGGCGGGCTGCCGCCGGCCGCCAGCTACCTGCCGGCAGAGCTGTTCCTGCTGCTGCAGTCGGCCGTGCTGGCGTGCCAGGAGAAGGACGTGGAAGCGCTGAAGGCACTGCAGGCAGAGCTGTGGCCGCTGCTGAGCGCCGAGCAGAACCACCTGCTGCACCTGGTGCTGCAGGAGATGCTGAGCCCCGCTGGGCAGGGGCTCTGAGTACCCGCAGGGACTGCTCGGACTGGTCGCTTCAACACAGACTGTCCCGCTATTTATTTTTAATACCGACTCTGTAACGCACTCAAGCCATGGTTGATGAGCAGATGTGTTCACCTTGTGTCATAGTAAACTGCTCACTGTATGTACTGGATGTTGTCCTGCTTGGAAAAAGTGTAATCCCGAAGCAGAAGGGCCGGTTCGGGGCAGAACAAGGCTGTGCATTAAAGGACTGGCTGCAGTTGGTGTGTGTTGGAGGATTTGGGCATCTGGGGATCAAATGTTGCTGGAGTTGTTTTTTTAAAGAAAACAAAAGAGCCTACAGAAAACAAACAAACAAAACCCCAACAAAAACACAAGAAAAAGGGATTTTAATTTTTTCCCCTCCTGAAAACAACAGACACTGCAGCCAACACGAGGCTGTGCATTTTGTGGTGGGTGAAGGGAGTTGGTCACTGACCTGCACGTCTGGGGACTATGGTGGTGGCCTGACCTCAGTCTCTGTGTAACAGCTGGTAACCCAAAGAACTGAGCCTGCACAATGGCAACTCCACTACAGCTGAGGGAATTTGGGAATTAAAGTAGTGGTGGAGGGGGGAAAGGATGAATGGACTGCTAGCTTAGTTCTTTTCTGCTGCTGTCCCTGCCTGCTCTTGGACACTTCTGCCTCTTGCTTGCTGCTTCTTTTGCAGTACTTAGGTGAAGAAGACTGGTCTTTAAGTGAGTAATGGTGCCTTGATACCTTACAAAAGGTAGTCCGTTTGTACACCTGAGAGAGAAGCCAGAGGCAAGAGGTAATTCTGTTAAACAGTGGTATTATACTTCTGATTTTAATATTTGGGTCTGGAAGCAGCAGCTTTTTCAAATGCTTTTCCAGCATTTGTTTTTCAGGTGTTTTTCACTTAAATAATAAGGAACTTGGTGTGTTCCTCTCTGAAACACAAACATCCCTTCTCAGAAGGGATTGCTACACGCCTCTTTTTGACAAGGCAAAACGGTAGGTGATAAAGGCTCAACTCAGAACCGGATGTTATTTTATAGCTGAGTTAGCCACAGATGTGCCACGCTGGGGAGACAAAGTAAAAATCTGTGTGGCAAAAAGTACATAGGATGAGCACAAGTCCTGTGAGTCCTATGAGGAGAGCCTGTGGGAGCTGGGGTTGTTCAGCCTGGAGGAGAGGAGGCTCAGGGGAGACCTCATCACTCTCTACAACTCCCTGACAGGAGGTTGTAGCCAGGTGGGGGTTGGTCTCTTCTCCCAGGCAACTGTCAGTAAGACAAGAGGGCACGGTCTTAAGCTCTGCCAGGGGAGGTTTAGGTTGAATATTAGGAAAAAATTTTTTACGGAGAGCCTGATCAGACACTGGAATGCGCTGCTCAGGGAGGTGGTGGACTCACCGTCCCTGGAGGTTTTAAGATGAGACTGGATGTGACACTTAGTGCCATCATCTGGTAGGGCGGTGTTGGATCAAGGGTTGGACTTGACGATCTCGGACGTCTTTTCCAACACGGTTGATTCTGTGATTCTATGACCCTCTCCTTTTTAAATTCAGACAGACGAAACCGTTACTAGAATTGTATCTAGTTGAGTAGCAGCGGTGAACGGCAGCAGCAGGGGGGCCGGGCGGGGATGCTCTGGGAAGGGATGCGCGGGGCGGGGATGCGCCGGGAGGGGATGCTCCGCCCCGCCGGGGCGGTGGAAGGGGCGCGGCGAGCGGCGGGCGGGGCCGGTGACGCGGGGCCGGTGACGCGAGGCCGTCGCGGGGCCCGTCGGGACGGGGCGGCCGTTCCGGTGCGTGCGGCGGGGACACCACGCGGCCATGGCGGACGGGGACGGTGCGCAGCGGTGGGGACCGGCGGGGGCGCGGGGACCCCCGGCGGGGAGGGGGACGCGGGGGGCTCCGGGCGGACACGGGGGGGAAGGGTCTGCGGGCGATTTTGCCCCCTCCCCGCGCCGCTCCCCCTTTCCCCTCCCGGGCCTGCCCCGCTCCCCGCGCTCACTCCCGGCGTGTCGCTCCCGCAGGTTCCAGCGTGAAGAAGAAGAGGAAGAAGGAGAAGCGGGCGCTCGCCGACGAGGATGTTGCGGTGAGCGGCGGGGGCGGGGGTCTGCCCGGGCCGGGTTTGGGGTGCCGGGGGGGGCTCCCCCAGACCCATCCGTGGGGACGCGGTGGGATGGTTGATGGGGAGGGTGGGTAGGGCTGGGATGGGTTTCTCCCGCGCTATTCCCGGAGGGAGCACGGCCGCCCCACGTGGATGCGGCAGCGGAGCCTCCCGGGCCACGTGGAGCGGGCGCGTGGAGACGGCGGGAGCGCGGCCCGCCGGCTTTTCCCGCTCTGATCCCGGTGAATTCCGCCCCCCCACAGGACATCCAGCACACGGAGGACTTTCTCATCAAGCCCGAGTCCCGGGTGCCCCAGCTGGACACGTCGCAGTGGCCCTTGCTGCTAAAGGTACGGCGGGTTCTGCTCGGCCTCGTGGTCTATCCCTTCTCCCGCTCCTTTTGTCCTCTGCCCGTGGAGGTGCACTGCTGCTTTGTGTAACCCCACTGCATGCAGAAATCGTGTTATTAGGTCTGACCAGCAGTATCATTTCCATGCCTGTTTTATAAGTGTACCGTGCCAGATTTCTTGAGCTTTTTATTTGGGTCTGGCCATAGCTTGTGATGTGTATGGATTCCCAAGTTGCTTGTGCTGAGTTTCTGGGGCGTACTGGATTTATCTTCTGCTGTAAAGAAGATGTGTATTCTGCTACTTTCCCATCTATTTCAGCGCAAGATTTGTTTATTTCTTTTTCTGTGAAACATTGTGGTTTCATTCTTGGGTCTGTTTGATTTTGGAAGTGGCTCTGACATTTACAAATCAGATCTTGTGTACCTGGGGGAGATGCATTGTAGGAAAGCAATGCTGAAACCAAGGTGAGCTCAAGAAGATTTGTAACTTCTGCTTCTGCTTGGATTTTGTAGAACTTTGACAAGTTAAATGTGAGGACAGCACATTACACACCTCTTCCTTCCGGTGCTAATCCTCTGAAGAGAGAGATTTCTGATTATGTTAGGTGAGTGCAATAAGGGCCAGAGTGGTTTATTTTTCTTTCACAGTTAATACTTTCAAAACATTTTCTGTCTGGGTTTCCCTTGTGTCTTTCTGCTTGACTCAGGGCCTTGCCAGTAATCAGTGAACATCTAATGTAAAGTTTGCTTTTTTTCTGGGGCTGTGGCTGGTCTGTGGATAAACATGCAAACGCCTGAGGAACTCTCTGGGGTCTTTGGAAAAGTCCTTTGGCCTGCTAGGCTTTGAGACTGCTTGGAGTTTGGTTTCCTTTAAGTACAGAGCAGTCAGGGGAGAAGAGAACTCCTTGACCGTGGAATATATCACCTGTTGTGCACGGAGCAGCTCAGTGTGTGCACTCTTGCTGTGTTTGCCCCGATGCTTAGCCCCTGCTCTCTGCCATCTTGCACTACAGGTCTGGCTTTATTAACCTCGACAAACCTTCCAATCCATCCTCTCATGAGGTGGTTGCGTGGATCCGGCGCATCCTCCGAGTGGAGAAGACCGGACACAGTGGCACTCTGGATCCTAAGGTGACTGGGTGCCTCATTGTGTGCATTGAGAGGGCAACACGCCTGGTCAAATCTCAGCAGAGCGCAGGTATGTTTGTTGCCCAGGCCATTTACAGTGACTGGGGACGTGTGAAGTGCTTTTGGAGACAAAGTGGAGATTTCCAGTACTGAAAGGGCCGATCTTGGCCTTCAGTGCCTTGAACTTCAAGGGTTGCATGTCACTCTGAGGCACTGAGGACACATCCATGCTGTCACAAGTGATTTTTGGTTGCTTCTCTGGGGCTTGTACTGTTTTAAGTCAGTGAAAACACTTCTGACAAGGTTTTATGTGCTAATTGAACTTACAGCCTCAACCTCTTTCCAGTCCAGTGAAATAAAAATTGGTGAAGAAATAAATATAGCTTAGGTTTCTTTCCCTGGAAGAATAACCAGCTCCAGAATAAACTGTGCATGCTTCCTAGGAGAGGTGGTTGTTAAGTTTTCAGGGCCCTGGGGACACGTGGCTTTGAGGGAGTGTGGACCTGGAGGTCAACATTAAATGCAAGTGGCCGCTCCTGACTGCTCTTGTCATTCTTTCAGGCAAAGAGTATGTGGGAATTGTTCGGCTGCACAATGCAATTGAGAGTGAGGCTCAGCTGGCCAGGGTAAGTCTCCCGTGCTCTCAGCCATGCTGACACCTGGCATGCAAAGTGTTGGGCACTGGTGGGAGATGAGGGGGCAGGAGTGGAACTCAGGTGTGCTGTGTGTGTGAGGTGATGACGCAGTTTATCCATTCTCTGAGTGCAGTGGTGCTGCCCTCCTGCAGCACCCCGGTTCCTGTTCTAGGGTCTGGGTGGTGTGCAGCCTCCAGACATGCTGCAGTCTCCCAGTGTCCTGCTGGGGGCTGCTGTGCTGTGTGGCTGGCTGCCTGCAGGAGGGGAGCAGTGCTGGCAGGGCTGGAGCCCCTCCTTGGGGGGCTCCATCCTCACTGGGACGAGGGATGGTGTCTGATCACACGCTGCCACCTGATGGGAAAAGCCTGGCTGTGCTCACTGGCAGCTGGGGTGACATCTTGAGCACATCACAGGTTTGGATTGGCTTTATTAAATATGACATCACCAAATTATGATGAACCTTGTGTTTTCTTACTCATGGGAATGGTCATGGTTGCTGGAGACTCCAAGGTGCTCCTACCTTTGGGCACAGGTGTGAGCTATTGCTTCTCCTTCCTCCCTCAGGCGATAGAAACTCTGACGGGCGCGTTGTTTCAGCGACCACCCCTCATTGCTGCTGTCAAACGACAACTGAGAGTCAGAACCATCTATGAGAGCAAGCTGGTGGAGTATGATCCTGAGAGAAGATTAGGTAAAACAGGGCTCTCCTGCCTTCTTCCTCTTAAGCAGGCAGCTAATAAAATTTTCTGTGAAATGGGCTGCTTTACATTCTTGGCAGATGTCTTAAGACCTAAATTCTCCCCACTGTCAAGCAGTAAGTGCTTCATGCATTATTTTTGTGTGCTGAGAAGCAAATCCCATCTGTTGCTTGTACTGCTACATCCTTCGTGGAAGAGCCAAATGATGTCAATTAGATGGCACTAGCTCTCAGGGCAAAGATGACCTTCATCTATCACCCCATTCTGATGGCTCTGTGAAGGATTGGAAATACAGCTTCTCTTAAAGGATGTGGTTCATTTCTAGACGTCA